GAAGGCAGTAAGCCACTTACCAGAAGCAGTCTTACAGCAATTTATCAGTGTCAGAGCGGGCACCTCCTGAAACGTAGCTGAGAAGGTTGAAGTTCCCAGCCCTGCTTTCTCTGTACCTACTTCTCCATAGACTTGTGGAGTTGAATCCAGTGAAGTCTTTTAATAGATCCTTTTGCTTGGCAGGAATCTAATCTAAAAATAAAAAATTTTAATCTTCCTACATTTTCATTGATTCAATAGCCATTGTAATTATTTCAATAGCATATTTAATAAAAGATTCTCCATCCAAGAACTTCAAACAATATTTACCAATTAAGATGGCCTCACATCCCAGTGAGGAAGTGAACGAGCTCTCACATGGAGGGAAGCTAAAGCACAAAGTCATAGAAAACTCTGCCAGGATTAGAAGAGAAAATCTGTGGCACAGCCAGAAACAGACTTCCTGGCTCCCAGCCCTACAGCTCAGTCATAATAAATTCCTTCCTGTACATACACACTCTCAAAGAGAAACTCCAGTAAGTAGATTAAAAATGTTAAAACTCATAAAAATGACTGGACAAATAATAACACCTAGAGCAAAGAAAATACTGTACTACCAGAGTTTGTCTTCACTGCAACCGATAGTACAAGTTCTTCACATAAGGTTGCTTAACCGAGGTGATAACAAATGCCTGTACCATGATACAGCGGTGCCTTTAAAAGCAGTAACATTAGTTACAGAATAATGGAGTCACATAGAGTGTTTTGTGCATCTCTGACAACCTTCATTTAACAATGCATACTCTGGTTTTAGAAGCACTGTATGAATTTATCAGTTATCAACTTTGAAGTTGTTTTTTTTCCTCTGAAGTAAGTAAGAGCTTTTAACAGTAGCCTCAGCACCAGACTAAATGCGGTACACAAGACAAGTTCAAAATTAATTTCACCTTTGACTAAAACTTCTGTTTGATTCCAGCACTGAAGACTAGGGTAACACCAGAGGAACACAGAACACTGGCCAAAACAACTCTGAAGTCTTGGAAAGCCTTCCAATACTTGTTTTATTTCACTGAAATATTTCTTTACCACTCAACTTGGACTTCTGAATTTAAGGGTCCTGTCCCTGTGTCCTAAATGAGAACAAGTCTCCAACTCTGTGACACCTGAGGCTAGGAGGAAGAGGCAGCTATTGGTGGCAGTGTCCCACAGCCGCTCTGCTGGCACACTCCTTCGGTTATAAGGACTTCTCCTTCTGCCTCCCTCTTCAATGCTGGAATAGGTTTGCCACACGAATCCAAGATCACTCAAGGGTGTGAAGAGTCCTAGATACCTAAACTCAGATATCTAAACTCATATAAGCAGAGTTAAGTGGTAACCGACTGAAGAAGTGTACAAAATCTGTTCACTGCTGAAGTGAGAGATAATTTCAAGCATCTCATCAGCCCTGAGCTTTAAGGAGCCGAAGCTCACTCGTCTTCAATGCTTCTTCAAGAGCCACAGGAAGCCTGTTGATGGAAATGCAGTCTTTGCTCAACTAGCACTAGCAACAAATGACAGGTCCTAACTCATTCCCACATCTGAGGCAGACAGACTTACATATGCATATCCCCGCAGTGGCAGCATCATTTCCTTTGGAGACAAAAAAAAAAATCCCCTCAGCATACAGGGCCCTCCCTGCAGCTGCTTCCTCCTGCCTAACCCACCTCCCCATCCCAAAGGAAAATTTGCCTGTGGTGAAGGAACATAAGCAAGGTCATTACCACGTCAACTCTTCCTCCATAATAACTGATAAAGTTTTTTTGATTATTATTTTTGAAGCGCTGGGGCTTATTGAAGGCTTTTCCAAATCTGACGGCACAGGGCCCAACCTCTTGAAACGTGATCCAACGAGAGGAAAGCGCACGATGAAGTTCCCTCCCTGCTCACGTTGGAGCCCAGCCAGAAGGGAGGCTGCTCTCGACTCCCCTGGCTCACAGTGCACCATCACAGGTTATTCAGCTTGGAGAAGCTCACACAAATTAAAACACTGCTTGATAACAAGCAGCCACGTCTAATTAAATAAAAGGGGTATGCAACTCACCTTTGCCATTCACACTTTCACATGAAAATGAGTCAGACTGCCTGCTCAGTCGTATACCTCCTCACTGAAACACGACACAAGTAAAACCTGTCAACTTGGGGTTTTCAAATATTCTGCAGGTGGAGAAACGCTGCAAGTGAATGCTATTTCTGGAAGCGTACAAATACCACTTATTTCTTCAACTAGTATAAGGTGCACATACTGTTCTGCATCAAAAGGTGCAGGGGCAAAAGAAAGTTCCAAAGACCGCAGAAGCATATACCCAAGCCTCTAAAATACAGCTCTGAGTAGCGACCACGTTTGTACCAGGGGCAACAACACGGGACACAGCAAGGCAGGGGCTCTGACAGACAAAAGAAAAGGCTGAGGATGCACCTTCATGACTGCTCTGAAGCGCATTTACCATGGTAAAAATGGACAGTAACCCTGGTCAGACATCCTCACCCCTTCTCCGTACACCCACACCTTCGCCCGAATAGAACGTCAAGAACTGATGAATAAGAGAGACCTTCTATCCATTTCTCTCTCTAAACATGAAACATTGCTGGAGGTTTTGACCTGTGATGTCAAATTTCTGTACTTCAGGGATTTTCACTGCAGTAACTGAGCCTGCCCCACACAGTTTTCCTGTGCAAACAAAGCCAGAGCAGGAAAACTGAGCTCAGAGCTCCCAAGGCCTGATGCAGAACTCAGGGACTCTTGCAGGAAAACTCTCCTTGCCCCATGCAAGGCTGCTGGGAATAGAAACAAAATTTTATACCATGTGCGACAACTGCTTTGGTGAAGAAAGCCAGGTAAAGCAACTTTATGCTAAGGTACAAGTTAAGTTGGACACACAAGAGACACTGCCAATCTCACATTTTCATTTCTTGCTGACTTAGAAATGGAAAATGCACTATGCTTTAGGGTTAAGTATGAATTTCAAAAATAATCAAAAAAGGTTTCTTGTGGCTATAGTCTACTGAAGTGAAACTGCTTGATTTCACCTCAAAATCGAGGTGAAAGAGTTTCACAGAAGAAACTTATCAAGGAAACTTGAAATAAAATAAGCAAGACCCATTTTGCATGTTTCTGAATTTTGTCTGACATACCTTACATCAAGAAACTATGCCAAAACCCTGTGAAGTGCTTTTATTTACTCGCCTTTACAGCAGACTAGAAAGTTTTTGCCCAGAGCCTTGCTTAGGTACAACTGATTAAAATCTAGTTCAAAAGAACCATGCCACCCAGCCAGATATTAAGAGATTTGTTATTCTAAGACTTAGAAATAGACTGGTTCTGATGCCAGAAGTGAGTCTATCCAAGCTGTTGTTAAAAAAACGAGTCTGTCGAAATTGAGATTTATCTCATATCTGACCCTAAAGGCAATAAGAGCTGCTTTTTTAATATTTATTTAATGATTTAATTAGTTATAACATGTTTTTGTTTCACTAATCAGTGACTAATGGAATAGTTTGTGCATGTGTGATAGCCGACCCCCTTTAAATTAGCAAAAACAATTGCATAGCACAGTATTACTTTTGGTGTATTAATTCTATGCTTACATATTGAAGAAAATGCTTTTTGTACCACAAAAAAAGCTTTTTTTTTTTTTTTTTAAAAAGAACCATCTTTCTAATTAGAAATAGAGCTTGGGATATGCTTTCTATGATGGAACAAGTTAAAAATTTCTCCTCCTACTGCAACACATTGCAGTCCTGGGAATATCCAAGAGCAACCCACAGGTTCATACTCTTTATGCCTCTCTAGTTCAGTAATTATTTGGTGAAATTATTTAATTACCTATCAATGTTACTTTGTCCCTCCTGAAGTTCGTACTGCTGTATTGAGGGAATCGAGAGAGAAATACTCAGATGATTTCTGGTGATTAACGTGTTATCTATCACAAGCAAAGACAGCTATCAAGAAATGTAACGTTAGTTCAATTCTACATAAAATACAAAATCCCACAATTTCCACTATCTCCAAAGAAAAACAGGAATGTTAAGAGAGTTATTCAGACACTGTAAAGCCTCCTCATAACTGAAGAAAAAGATTTTGCGATGAAGCTTTCAGACTCCAGACGTTGACAAAGCACCTTTCAGGGAGCAGGTAAAGAGTTAATGCAGCTGCTGCAGCAGCACTCTGCTGGTGACTGTTTGCCCGCCTGCAAGGTACAGTCCCAGCAGACACATTATCAGATTAGGGGAAGGCAAACAAACTGAATTGAAACCATTCTTCAGCGAGTCCGACCTCTTCTTCCTGTGATGTCACGCTACAAATTGCCTGCGCTCGCTGCTCTCCTCTCCTCTCCAGAGGCAGCCAGGCGGGCGAGAGGCTGGCGGGGCGCGGGACGCCAGGGCTGTGCTCTGCAGGAACAAACACGCTCTGGAATTTCATTTCTGCCCTCACAAGCAGCCTGCTTCCTGCCCTGTGGGGCGAGCGAGCGAGGGCTCCGGGGAGCCGAAAAGCTCGTTTTACAGAAAGCAAAGCTGGGAGAGAAAGGCAACCGCCGACACTCCGCGGTGTCCAGGAAATGGTGTTCTAAAGCGCCCGTTCCCAGTAAATGTGGATGGACCAGGCTTCGCCACCACGACCCGCAGCCGAGAATAAGGCAGAAAGTTCTACAGCAGCTCCATCGCATCGAGGGGGGGAAATGGAACTAAGCAAGCATCGGGACGACCTCATCTGCCACAAATGACATATTTTATGACTTTCGAAGACCGCCTGTGTGATTACAAATAGCACTTGGAAGAGAAGAGCGACCTCCTGGTGATTACCGCTGGAGATGTACTCCCCTGCTGCAGAGCTTGAGCTTCTTCTCTGAAGCTTCACAGTGCAACAAACTTACCAAAGCACACCCTACAAATACACCCGCAAGTGCTTCTGGAATACAGAAAAAGTTGCAATAAAAATACGAGAGGAACCTCCAAATCACACGAATTTTAAATATACCATTATAATGGTAAGCTCTAATTGTTCCACTGAGGACTCCTTTAAATATACTTTATATGGGTGTATCTTTAGTATGGTGTTTGTTCTTGGCCTCATAGCAAACTGTGTTGCTATCTACATTTTTACTTGCACATTAAAAGTGCGAAACGAGACTACAACTTACATGCTTAATTTAGCAATATCGGATCTGCTTTTTGTGTTTACATTACCCTTCAGGATTTATTACTTTGTAGCAAGAAACTGGCCATTTGGAGACATTCTTTGCAAGATTTCTGTCACCCTCTTTTATACAAATATGTATGGGAGCATTTTATTTCTGACTTGCATAAGCGTAGATCGCTTTTTAGCTATAGTACACCCCTTTCAATCTAAGACTCTCCGAACCAAAAGGAACGCAAAAATTGTCTGCGCTGCAGTATGGATAACTGTGTTAGCAGGCAGCACACCAGCAAGCTTTTTCCAGTCTACAAACCGCCGTAATAATACTGAACAAAGAACGTGTTTTGAAAACTTTTCGGAGGACACTTGGAAAACCTACCTATCCCGGATTGTTATCTTCATTGAAACAGTTGGGTTTTTTATTCCGCTCATCTTGAACGTGACCTGCTCTACTATGGTCTTACGGACTTTGAATAAACCACTTACATTAAGTCGGAATAAATTAAGCAAGAAAAAGGTACTCAAGATGATTTTTGTCCATTTGGTGATATTCTGCTTCTGCTTTGTGCCTTATAATGTTACCTTAATACTTTACTCTCTTATGAGAACACAGACCTGGGTTAATTGTTCAGTGGTAACTGCAGTCAGGACTATGTACCCTGTCACTCTGTGCATTGCTGTTTCAAACTGCTGTTTTGACCCTATAGTCTATTACTTTACATCGGATACAATTCAAAATTCAATTAAAAAGAACCGGTCCACTAGACCCCGGGACATTAGATTCTCTGAAAGGCCAGTTTCAGAAAACATTCAACACAGCCTTCAGACCATAAAAATGAAAATATCTGACAGTGACTCTACAACATAAACTGTATTAAAAGACTACTGGGACTAAACTGGAATTAGAAGCCTGCACATTTCTTCAGCTGTGGATATATATTCTGATATGTAAATGTTACACTTCCTTCAGCATAAAGACTTAAGACTGTAAAAGTGTTGAGCATAATAGTACACAGAAAAAGTATTTTAAGAATTTCTGTCAAAAGTCTCTTCTGACAGGTTGTATGTTAGAAAACTTCTGGTTTCAGATTAGGTTAACTAAAATCCAAAGACTGTCTGTCAAGTCGAAAACAAATGAAAAAGTAGTTAGCATTTTTTTTAAAGTTAAAACAATTGCTCATTTTTTATAATGATACAGGTTTCCAAGTTACTGAGGATGGGGGTAACACTACGTGCTTACACTGCAGGATCCAGTTGCTGAGGAAAACAGCACCATGATCACATATCACTTCAGCTACTGGGCCTGCTCCAGAATTTCCTCTTCTCTACCTTACTCCTCTCTTTCTCCTGCACCTTCCTTCCTAGGGACCATAACGTTCGTAGGAGCCTCCAATCAATGTTTCTCCCAGGTTTATCTGATAAAATACATGCTCCCTCCACAAGCCTGGCCCCCATAAAGCAATTAAATCTTCTGGCAGTTTAGGGCATCTGGAAACAACTCAGACAAACAGGTTTTTCTTCTCACCTCTGTCTCAGATGTCTGTGTAATTATAACAAAATAACCTCTGATGACTGAAGTTAGTGCTTTAGGTACAGTAACTTTTTATTAAACCATTTGTGAGAAGTTCAACTCAGCATGACTTTTGAGCAAAATAACATCCTCCAAATAAGGTAAATCAATTTCAAAGTAGTAGTTTCTTAGAAAAACATGACCTTTGCTAACTAGAAATGAGCATGTGCACCAACCCAAATATTTCTTCTAGGAAGCTATTTGGTGTCCTGTAAAGAAATTCAAGACACAGTAAAACTTTCTCTCAGTCTTTGTGTCCTAGAAATATTTTTAACATGGGCATTTAAAATTTCAAAGATTATTTTCCTGCAAACTTTATAGAGTATGAAAATAAATTACTTGGGGCTACATGCTGTCAAAATTAATTGAGACACTTTAAAAAGTCACAGCCATGTAAAAGGAGAAATCCTGTTACAAACAGGAATGTATAGACAAGAGTGCTTTAAAATGTCCTGCTATGTATGTTTCCCAGCTATTAGAACATTGTGTACATTCTGCTCAAAATTAATTTAACACCGCTGTAAAAATAAATAAATATTTAAAAGGTAAAAGTAAGTGTTGGTTTTTCCTCCTCAAAAACAATGGAGTCAAGAATAAGAACCGAGTTAAAATGAATTTGCACTTTAGTTTTAGGGCAGTCAGTTGCAACACTGAGGCATTTTTACTTCAGGGCAGTATACAGAAGCACAAATCCACGCTGGAGAAAATGCATATTGAGCTGTCAGAGTATACAACATGTTATCTGATTGAGTTTACTTCCATTTACAAAGCTTTTGCTTAATTGTTATAAATCAACTGCACATTGCCTATTACTACTGAAAAACTAAGTTACTTGAAGACTTCCAGAAACTAATGCCAATTGAATTTTAAATTAAACAGCATTTAAAATCTTTATGCACACAACTTATGAAAGGAAAATTCAAATAGTATGAGCTTAAGCTACAAAGTTAGTATAGATACAAATGTCTGCATAACATCTGAAAATAGGCAGTTATCTTAGTTGGGTATCCTAAACTTTTCTAATTCATATCTGACTTCAGAAAAATGCACTAAGCCCCCTGGCATGATTAGAAATGCTGTATGTTTTCCATATGCCACTGACAAATCCAAAGTCACCAGCAAATCCAAAGTTCAAAAGCCAGATATGGATGTCGAATGTCTCAATACCTCTCTTTCTGAAGAGCCTGTTTCATATTAGACTCCCTCCAGAGACTTTGAGACTAAAGCCCTTAACATTACTGCTGGGCTGTTTCTAGCCTAGTACTCTCCTCGAGCTTGGCAAAGCTGTTACTTGGTTGAGTGACAATTTGTTCAGCAGTACCTCTGAATTACAGCAGCAAACACCCCAGAGCCTCACCCTGGTAAAGAGAAGATGCTCTTTCTGAGATTATGAAACTGCAGGAAAAAAAAAATAAAAAATCACTGACTTAAAAGCAGAACAAGCAGATAACATCACATGTATGGGTGCTCCCCTTTAAACCAGACTTTCCTTGGTGTATTGTCTCAAAGAGCCTGGAGAAGCACGAAGAGTAGCTCTTTCTGCCTTGCACTCATTCTACAGGGCAGTAGCTTCTGCTTTTTGCAATAGTGTAGTGCAACACAGTACAATAGCTCTGCAACCAGTTAACAGCTTGATATCTTTAAACTGTTTGAGGAAACTTTATATTTTTTATTATTAAACATACTTCACTCTTTCTGGGGAGAGGGGGACAACAAACACCCAAAAAGAGCACAGTTAAAAAAAGCAACATCTGTAATTTAGATAATCTGACCATTACTTGAGAAATTCCTGGCGTGATTCAGAAGAGGGGGAGTGAACCCATACCTCCCACACCAAGATGATATAAAGCCAAGCTACCAGTTATTCAGGACTGCATGAAGTTTTCTCTGCCTTTTCTGGTTCTGCAACAAGATTATCCTGGAGAGCTGTGGATGGTGTAATGCTTCCACCGGTGCATTGCTGAATAGCCGCACTCCCTCCCTCTGCTCCTGCCTTTGATAACCAACTCTTCTGTCTCTCTGGTAAGAGCTTATGCCACAATTTAAATCTAGATGCGGAGTTATGCTCCTAAATCATGCCTAGGCATCTCAAATAATAAAGGCTTATTGTCAGAGCTACTGAGCATCAGAATGTGTTGTATCCAGTACTTCCTAAAAGTACATTATTTTTACTCATATGCCTATGCAGGGGGAGTTAGGAGTTCAGTTTTAGGATCAAAACTTACAAATTTGTTCTTTATAGTCTGGTTTCTTCATCTACAAAGTGCAGATAATGCACATGTACCATAACAATAAAAGCAGTGAAAATATAGTTGATTCAAAGCATTTTTTTGATCTAAACCAAGGTAGGCTGCCATTGATAACTAGATAATTAACCAGCAGTTTCAAAAGACAAGGAAAAAGAAACAAACTTTTCATCAACATCTTATTTACCTTAACATACCATTACTTTAAAACCAAAATATTTCCTTTTTTTTTTTTTTCTCTCTTGGGGGGGGGTGAGAGGGGTGGGCAGGCAAAATCAAAAAAAAAACCAAACCTCCTTTTGTTTCAAATCAACTAGTTCCATTGCTGCCTCCTCACTTCTCTTGGAAGAGGCAAGGAGCACTTGACTGGCATTCAGCCTTTCCATAATGCTCCTGATTATACAGTCTTCCATCATTTCTTGCAAATGAGAAAGTGATTTTCATTTGTAATTTCAACCAGTATCATCGCCAAAGATGAGATTTTCAGAATTACAAAAAGAACTTAGGTAAAATTACAGTGAACCCAGCAAGGTTCACTCTGAGACTGGTAATATTTAAAAACCCACTTGAGCATAGTATCCTCTAGCATTATTTATTCTTCCAAGTTATTTTCTAGGAGTTTTATCAATGAAGAGCAATTTGTTCATACTTTTCAGCAGTAAATGTAATACAAGGTTTTTGTACCTGGACAGACCTGTAAATCCTGACAAGTTCCCTTTTTTGCTACACTATTATAATTTATACCTCAGGGTTACTAGCATTTGAGCATCACTGACAAAATGAAAGAAGATACATTTCAAAAGCTAAGGCAAAATGTAAATCAGAATGATTCTTAATCTAGAAGTTGCAAATGCCTGGACTGCAGTTGTTATCCAATTATCAGAGTGCTGAAAAAAAATGTATAAATACAACTGACAATCACTGAATTTGCACATTCTCAGAATGTACTCCATAGAGCTCACTTAAGACGAGTGCAAATTCAGAAAGCCACGCTTGCAGTCCAATATTTCCACAAGAAGCTGGATGGAGAAGTTTGTTCTAATCCTCTAATTCTGCTTTGACAGTGAAGCAATCTGTAGCCTTTTGCATTTATCACCTCCCCAAACCAGTTCCTGTTACACAGCTGCTTATCCAGCAAGCCCAGTTTTCCCGTAAGAAAACTGAACTTATCACAAAATTAAAACAAAGAACCCTGTGGACATCATCTGGTCTTCTATAAAACCTACCATTTTATTGGAAAACAAAAAATTCCAGAACTGAGAATTTATATTTAAAATTATTTTTTCTATTTAACAAGCAGTCTGTCCACTCTAGTTATAACAAAACTAAAAGCTGCGCTGCATTAAGAAGGGATAAGTTTTCTACAGTTTAAACATGAGATTAAACCACAAGCAACAACACAGGAAGGCCTCTAACAAGAATTTCCTACCTTTTTTTTAAGAGATAAAAGAATACTTTTACATACACAAAGCTTTAAGATTTGCCCTAACTCCACTTTTTTTAAACAGTGAGTTGCTGCCTTAAAGAAAAAAAATCTTAAATATAATGCTAGTACCAGAAGGCACCCAAAATTAATGCCATTACCTTGGGAATAATATTAAGTCTATTTCACAGGAAAGGAACTGTGGCTTAACTCTTCTGCTTTTCAAGTGAATTCTGCAAAAATTGCTGCTTTATGAAAGGAAGTCAATTGTACACATTAGTTGCAAGTCTTCACCCTTCTGTAAAATTATGCAACATTAGATCTACCTATTTTTGGAAATCTGTCCTGCTAAGCAATTTCTAAAAGCAGCTGCTAATGTAAAAAAACCTGAAAACTCTCCTAGTCACGAGGGAGTGATACTAGATTAGGAAAATTTACCATTCATCACAGCATCAAGAACTACACTTGGCTAAAGTCAGAAGCACCTGTAATAAAACTTAGATGCTTTTATGAAGTAATGAAAAAAGTACCCACAGCATTGCAGATGTTTCCTAATGGAGAAATTTGTTAAGTATATAGCAAGACATCCCAAAAAACTGAGAATACAGATGGTGAAGCAAGTACCAAAATATCTGCCTTTTCAGCCCTAACAAAAACATCTTTCATTAATGAAACCAAATATGTAA